CTTATCCCTCATTTGCACCTACTGTGGTTGAGCATGTTTTATGCCATGTCACACTCTCTGTGTTGTCTGTAAGTGAAAAACACATGCTTCACAGATATATAGACGGAATTCTCCAGATAATGATATATATCAAACATCTTGGAGAAACAAAAAAACAAAATAATAACAAAAATAAAGGGGAAAAAAATAAATAAATAAAAAAAAATAAACAATGGACATAAAAAAAAATCAGCTGTAATACAGCACGACACCATACATACACAGAAGGAGGAAAAACTAACATACACAGTAATTACCTAACTGCAAGTTATAGTCTACAAACTTTGTGTTTATATTTCGGCACCAAAAATGCTGGTATAGAAGCAAACCCAAGCTCCTCTACATCCAAGAGACCGTGGTTCTAGTTACCCAACTACCCACAATGTGTACATATATATATTTTTTTACATATATATATAGATACTTTTGTCATACTATATTCACTCTCCTTCTGTCTCTTACAACATTTAACATATACAAATAAATAAAACACTATTCACCTTGCTATCCCACAATCTGAGAAAGACGAGACCTTTTTCAACTCAAAGTGCTCTTTACATTCAGTTGCAGCTTTATAAAAATAAGAATTCCAGACACATATACAGAGAGTAAGGCCAGGTGAAGTGTCTTTAAATGTACATTTGTAAGTATTATCATTATCTTTTTGTCTCTCATTGAGGAAATACCTATTTGTGGAAAAATGTGACAAATCAACAGCAAATAATTTACCCTTTGTTGGCCAAAATCACACACAGCTTCACTACAGACACGAAGAATCATATATTCACTGTTCAGCACTGAAGGATAATAGAGATAACATGAATATTGTCTGTTTTGGAAAGAAAAGTAAAAAAAAAAAAAAAAAGTTTAAACTCAAAATCAACTTTTAGTCATTTTACTTAATACTACTGTTAAAGAGATTCTCATCCAGAGACTACTCTTCTTCCTCTAAGAATAAATGTTAATTGATTTTGTCTAAAAATTCCTCATTGCCTTCTCTCCCAAACATGCCAGTCTGTGTCTTTGTACTTCAAGTTCTTGTTCATTCTCGTAAATACGCCAACATCTCGACTGCATTTCCTTCAGGAGACTTTGAAAAACCTTCTAACATCTTAAACAAGTACATTTTGTAATTAGTTTGTTTAAACTTTTACACTATATCACTTATTCATCATATTATTTTGTTGGGTGTCTATGACTCTTTACCTTGTTATAAAATCTACTATGAATTAAGGATAGTCCAAATATAAATATATATTTCTATATACATAAATTCCCTGCAAAATACTGAAAAGTTACAGAACCTTCTACTGAAAAATTACTTAACATTCCAATGATTTTAAATTCATTTATAGCATGTAACTAATTAATTTTAACATTTAGTCAAACAATTATCATATAAATTATCTGGAACAACCCTAAATTATATATTTCTCCCACTAAAATTATAAGAAATAACTTATCATTCTTGACAAGAAACATTTTCCTCTAAGGCTTATTTTTTGCAATTATATAAATATATAAATATAAATGTATAAACAAATGTGTGTATATATGTGTACATGTATGTATGTAAGTATGAAAGAGAGAGAGAGAGCGAGCGAGCGAGAGAGAGAGAGAGAGAGAGAGAGAGAGAGAGAGAGAGAGAGAGAGAGAGAGAGAGAGAGAGAGAGAGAGAGAGAGAGGAGAGAGAGAGAGAGAGAGAGAGAGAGAGAGAGTGAGAGAGTGAGTGAGGTGAGTGAGTGAGTGAGTGAGTGAGTGAGTGTGAGTGATGTGTGCGTGATGTGTGTGAGTGTGTGTGATGTGTGCATGTGTGCGTGTATGTGTGCGTGTATGTGTTGCGTGATGTATGTGTGCATGTGTGTGTATGTGTATGTGTATGTGTATGTGTATGTATGTATGTATGTATGTGTATGTGTATGTGTATGTGTGTGTGTATGTAAGTGTGTCTGTGTTCACTTATATATATATACACACATTTTCATATTCATACACATACATATACATATAAAAGACCAAGATCAGACTCATACGTAGCTATCAGTCACGGAAACCAATAGCGGGGAAAAAAATCTTTAATTATCCTGGGCTCTGAAGTACTGTTCTCAGTTACTTAATTCCAAATGCCTCTCATTACCACAATATTAAGACGATACAGATGTGTTTCTCTTTTGTTGTATCTAGTTATCTGGTATTATATAATACCAGCTGATTCATCTCCTATGTGTAATTTTCTGTGATTTCATGTCTCAACAGTGAGCAAGCCATAACTGATTTGTGCATCCATGCATATGAACATTTGTGTACTTTCATAAACATGCATTCACTCAGTGACACATAGGAGTACAAATTTTTGAAACTATTTTTTTTCAACCATTAGGAAAACTATCTACATCAAATTCAAACCCATTAACAATCTCAATTATTAATTCTCTCCCTGTTACTCTCTTTCTTTCTGTCTGCCTGTCTATCTCTGGTATTATGTATCTTGTGTGCTTGCACATACGCACTCATTCACACAGTCACACACTCTAACACTCACTCACTCACTCACACTTTCACTGACTGACTTACTCAATATATCTTTCTGAGCATGGAATAACTGCGGGGTTCATATCCAAAATATACAGATACATAAATTATGTATGGGTACATTTCTTTCTATAATGGTCCTCCCATTCCTCCTACGTGTTACAATTATTTACTCAATGATAACATTAATAACATTATTATAATAATAACATTAATATTGAAATTCACTTCTCTATGGTATACACTTCCTTATAATTTATCATAAACTATCAGGAATCTAAATCATCACCTTATTCCCATCTGTCCTTCACCCATCTTTCTCCCATCCTTGCAATTTTTCTTTGTTTCCCCTTTTCCCTTCTTATCTACTCCCCCTCTCATCTCTATCTCCCTCCCTCACCATTTTTACGACAGACAATGACAATTGCACAGGTGAAAAAAGAGGGGGGGCGGGGGCGGGGAAGGGTTTCTAGGACAGTAGTTCTTAACTTGGGTTCAATCAAACCCCTTTGGTTCATTAAACCACGGGCTCAGCAGTTCCTCCAAATTGCATTACAAGAACAAAAATCACAATAATATTTGATTTTCTATTTTCAACTTTATTATCATGTTTTTTTGTTTTGTTTTTTGCATTGCTTATTCTATCTATAATATTCAAACACAGTCCTTAATTTTGATACAATGTTTTCTTTTTCTTTTTGATGAATCTTTTCGTTTAATTCCAGGGTTCGGCAGTGTGTCAGAGGGTTTGGCATCTCAAAAAAGGGTAAAGGACCACTGTTCTAGGGCAAAGATATTTCATATTAAATTAATTTCTTGCTGGCAATCTTGTTTCAAATATGTTTTACCACTAATAATATGACTCTAGAATTTCTAAAGGCCGTTTCACGCTATCATTTTTTCCGTCAATTTTTGCTTTTTCGAATGTGTGTGTAAATGTGTGTCAGTGTATGCGTGTTTGTGTGCGTGTGTATGTGTGTGCGTGTGCGTATGTGTGTGTGTGTGTGTGTGTGTGTGTGTGTGTGTGTGTGTGTGTGTGTGTGTGTGTGTGTGTGTGTGTGTGTGTGTGTGTGTGTGTGTGTGTGTGTGTGTGTGTGTGTGTGCGCATGTGTATTTTGACACACATACATATATAAATGAAATTTCTCTCCATCATTTGCTAGAGGTAATAACAACGATTTCCAAGCAAGTCCAACCCTTACTCTGAACAGTGAAAGAGTCGAGTAAAATTGCCAATTCAAACTAAGGCAGCGTCCCCTCCTCTGGTACTGCTTTCCAACAACGCACTTTTGGTAACCTTCTCTAGGAAAGGAACATGGCAAGATCCTGGCACTAATACTGTAAATCTAAAAGGGGGGGGGAGAGGATAAAAGAAAATAATGAAAACTGCCACGAGCTCACCAAAAAAATATAAAGTCGTTCACTCTTTTCTTCTCCGACTGTAATCATGTGTAATCCATTACCTCCAATTCTGGCATGATGTTCAAAACGCATCATCCATCCACATCCGGATTAAAAAGAAAAACAATGTTGATAAAATCTATTGCAGATCATAAACCTCTTTAATCTATAAATAAAATATATATATATATATTTCATTCTTTGCATCTTCAATATGAAGAAGAAAAAAATGCTCATGATAACTTATTAGGATGCTGCACCCTGGATTTCACTGTCAGTCACACTGACACTTTTACATATATGTATATAACCATTTAATTTCAGCCATGTGTTGTGTACCATGTAAATGAATTAAAAAATAAATAAAAATTATATACATATACATATATGCATATAAATGTATATACATACATACATATATACATACATACATACATACATACATATATATATATATATATATATATATATATATATATATATATATATATATATATATATATATATATATATACATATACATATGTGTGTGTAGATATATACATATATATGCATATATAGTGTGTGTGTGTTTGTGTTTTATTTACTTATTTATTCATTTTATACTTATTCACTCATTCTAAACACCTCAAACTAGCTGTAAACAATCACCCTTACTTGAGCCCCTTTGTTCCCATACCAGAATGGGAACTTTCCTCAGGATAACTAAATGCCAGTTACCCAAATAAGTCATCATAAAATAACACTAAAAATGCATTTTTTTTTCTTTTTGTTTCTTTTTTTTCCACCAGGAACTAAATATCAGTATGAAAGTACATTAGATACATAGATATAAAGTCAGCTATGGTAAAAGTGTCATTAATAATCCTTAAAGAAATAAAACACAATTATAAGAAGAAAAAACCTGCAAGAAATATTTGTTCTCCTAGAATGTATTATACTATAAAATTCAATAAAGTAGGAAGAGAGGATGCACACAAAAGAGAAAAAAGGAAGAAGAAAAAGAAAGATAAAGACAATGGAAATATAATGCTAAGGAAAGAAAGAAAAAGAAAAAGTGTAAGAAGAACTTCTTTCCTGCAAGCATACTTTGGAAGAAAAAGTTCAGGCAAAAACCCTTAATTTCACCAAGAGTTTTTCTGCCACTTTCAATGAAGCAAGTCTCCTGGACACATTTCCCACTCTCACAATCCTACCAAAATGCTGCAGTCGGATTGGATTTATTCCCTTCAATTTTGTACAGAGAAATGGAACTGTTTTGACTAGTTCTATTTGTGTTAAAAAATGGGTCACTATTTCAAATGTATATTTGATGAAAGTTTTCAAACTTCCCCCCTCACCTAGCTTTCACACCTTTCTATAGTACAAGACTATAATCTTTTTCCTTATCCTTTTTTTCTTCGTATCATTTTTGGGTATATATTAACTGTGTGGCTAAATACAAAAGACTATATAAACTGCCAGAAGTAAAGTATGACAAGAAAACTATTAACAATAAGAAAAGTATCAATAAGAATGACAAAGATGAATGAGTCTTATATACGGATGTAAGCAACACGTGAGAGCTGTTATGAATATTCAAATAAAATCTTCTACAGACTAATATTATCACTTGAATCATCTTTCTTTTTTGGTGCTAAGGAAGGGGGAAGGCTGAATTTTGCAAGTAAAAAATATTTGAGCTTTTTACTTTCAAATGTTCTTCATAAATGAATGTTCTCTGAAACTTATTTAAGTAACATATGAAGCAATAACAATATCAATTATGTTGATAATGACTATAATAATTAATGATTAATTATCGAAAGTAATGATAATCAATTATAATAATAATAATAATAATAATAATAATAATAATGAAAAAAAAGCAACATAAAACAATACAACAGATAATTCTTGTACATTCATATCACCTCTATTAGCTTGGAACACTTAGCTGGAGCACCAACACACAGCATGATAGAGGACAGAAAAAAAAAGTCCCAGCAGACTGTGAAGTACAGACCATGCAGCTCCCAAAAGCCTGAGTCCCGCATTTTACTGGCCACAATGACTCCTTGGATTACTGCAGGTCGTCCTCGAGCCAACCAGGCACAGGGTAGTCCAGTCTTGTGATGAGCTTCTCCAAAGCAACATTGTAGCTCTGGTAGAAGTCCTTTAAAGAAGGGAATGATGGTGTGTTTAAGATAGATAATGTTCCTCCTGAAGAAGGGTATGGAATTTGGAACTGTGAAATGCAATAATTGAAGACTGATTAACATTATGAAGAGAAAAAAATATAAAAATATTAAAGGAAGTGAATGAAAATACAGTTAGTGTAGCCATAATAACTGTCTCATCACTATATTATGTTGCTAATCAAAATACCATATACCAAAACTACTGTATTTGTGCATGAAAGTAAACCAATTTCTACAAATATGAATAAAGACAGAAAAATGGAAGAAAAACAGCAAATGGTGAAGACAAAACTGAGAAAGAATATTTAAAAAATAACAATATGGAAGTCAAACCTTTAAAATCTTGGACTCTGATTCATTCATGGGGGGATAAACTCTTCCCTTCCCACGTCCCAGGCACTTGGTCTTGTCTTCCTCAATTACCTGGCAGTAAAACCCTTTCCTCTTGTCATACCTGCATTAAAACTTACATTATTTTCAAGGGCACAAATTTACAAAACACAGAACAAAGAGTACTTGAAATTTCATGATCTTAAATATGTGAATATCACATCTTTCTTCTTTGGCTTTGAGCCCAGACTTAAAATGGTAATGAAAAAATTAATAGCTCAACTGCAGCACTTACTACAACAGCATGTACCTAACTTACCGTAAATGTTCTGTGTAATTATAAAATATGTACCTAACTCGGTAATGTAATTATAAAATGGCTCTATCTCCAGGAACTTCTGCAAGTCATTCATAATATATACAGGGTCATTTCTGAGCTCTTCTCCATCAATTATGATTAACTGTGAAGCTGGGAAGTAGTCCAGCCACCTCTCAATGTGCTTGGCATACATGCCTGGGTTTAAACATCTGCAAGGCAAGAGAAAAGACGTTTAATTCATTCGCAGCAAACTAAAATACCCCTCAGCAAGCTAGTGTTTTATTTTTTTTTTCTGACCTATTTCTAGAACTATGTAATAAATCTGGAAGTGAACAATCTTGCTGCATCATTACATAAAAGATCTTATTGAAAAGTAAAAAAAAAAAAGATATTACAAATATCAAAAATACAAAAATTCAAATAGACTCCAAATACATATTGAAATCTAACAATAATTTACCCATAAAAGAATAGTACTTTCCAAATAAAGTGTTATCAACCATTCACTCTGCCAAAAATAAGCCACTCACTTGTTACGGAGGTCCCTGAGTTGACGAGGAGAGGAGTCTGTAGCTGTGATAACCTGGTAGAAAGAGTACTGAAGTGCTGTAGGGTCGTTATGAGCCCGCATGTGATGATACCAAGAATATGCACGTCGTCCTGGGGGTATGATGATTGCGACCTGGTGGATTGAAGTGTGAAATGTCAAAAATTACTTCTTGGTGGAGGAAATACAAGAACAAAAAATCAGAATACTTTCTTTGTGATTCAGTTCTCCAAAACCAGCACCTGATTTTCTTCTTTTTTTCATAATAGGTGTACTTTGATAAGATAACAATTTCATCATGTTCCAAAGAGTCATTTTCATTAACAAAATAAAAGGCTCCTGTTTCAATAACCATTCTTTGTTCAATTTCTATTTGGTGTTGTTGCTCTATTTTGGTTTTACTCTTTTTTTGTTGTTTTTTTACTCATTTACACTTGGATAATCATTTACTGCAGTCACTATTAACAAGCTTTAAATCAATGAGTATATTATGTAAACTGATATGCCACTACCCTATCATGTGCAAGTATAGTATGAACTATAAGAAGCTTGATCTATCACACTAAAAATGTTAAATAGATGTAAATAATGTTTCCCTCTCCTTATTACACTAGTTAACATTTGAATCTCTACTTCTAAAAATACTACTAAACTTGAGGAAAAAGTCTATATATATACATATAATCATAAAGAGAGAAATCCTTACCAATTTAGCACTGGGAAGCAGAGACTTGACTCTCTTAGGCACCACTTCTCCTTCAAAGTAAGTGGCACTTTTCTCAAACAGATATTTGCCAGAAGAGTTCTTGGGAATGGGAAAGAACTGCATATACCTGTAAGAACATTTATTTTGCATTACTCTGACTTTCTTTAAAATGATTTTTTCCCCAATTTTCCATCTTACTGGATCTGATATGTAAAAGAAAATTCTTTTTTACTGTTAGTATTGCCATTATCTATTTCTCTTATAAACGCAGGAATTTAGGGAAACAACTCTCAAAATAGGAACAGTAAGAAGGCATTATTGAACTGAATATTTTAACTAAATGCTTTTAATCAATTATCAACAGAAAATAACAGATAATATAAAGCACAGCTTCATCTAAGTAACACGTAGTAAAAAATGAAAAATATATCTTCACTGAGCAGACCTGACATCATCTCTCTGGGTAGCTTAGACTGTGTAATAACAGTAATAATAAATAACACTGTCTTGTTTGTGTTATTTTCCATAAGACACCCTACACTGCCAGTAACAACAAGCATATGGAGGTAGTATCCTTCCTGACAACGGCTCTCTTTCAGCCATAGGTGATGGTTGGTAAAATGTCACCCTTATGAACCTATGGAAATAATGAACCCCTTCCCAAAGGGTCACTTAGTCAATTTCACTCATTTGCTCTGTGACAGGACATCCCATTACCAGACCAGACCAGAAATATTTCCCATGACAAAACATTCCAATCACCCGACCCCTTAAGCATATTTTTATGGCAAGATGTCTATGTTACTTGGATCCAATGGGGTAATATGTTGAGTTCTTACAGATATTCATTTGCATTCAATGTGTATATCATAATCATGGGATGTGTACATTCCTTGCTTTCAGCTCATTTTTTCAACAATAATGTTTATTCTCACAAAGTCCATGCTTCAATTCTGGAAAGCATTTCAGTATGAGTGAAGTTAGAAGAACAGCAATCAATTTTCATCAAGATAGACTGAAAAAAGTGCATCTCTTAACCCCTATGATCTGGATGATGTGCCTATGTCATAAAAAATTTTGCTTGAGGGGCAAGAGACGTGAACATACCACCTAGAAAAAATTTGGCTACGATCAAGGGTGATGCAGACTTGCCTTCAACAGAATTTCAGTTGAAGGCCAGGGTGACAAGAATGACTCATCATGAGTGCATAAAGCTCTTAGAGGAAGATTAGCCTCAGCGGGCATTGAGGAAGGGGCTTTTGGAGATCCAATTCCTGCCAGCCGTGACTGGTGGCGCAGGCTTTATTACAGACAACTGAATATTATGAAGGGGTTAATCAAGTGTTACAGAGTGAACTTCCATAGAGATAATTTTAAACTGGTATCAAACTCTTTATATAAATAGAGACCTACATTATCAGATGGAAGAGGAAATATGAATAACTGGTAAAGTATATAAAAAAAAATCTGGTCTTATTTTTCTTAATTTTTTTCCCTTATTTTTACCAGATTTTTTCCCCAACACTGGAAAACAGAACTCGCGGCCATGAACTTACCAATCAATACCCTTGTAATAGTTCTTGCCATTGAAGAACTGTATCTCCTCAAAGGTCTCTGGGGATGGGTAATTGGCAACAATGGCTGGGTGCATGGTCAGGAAGGTATACAGAGCAGTGGTGCCCGTTTTCTGTGGGCCTATCACCAAAAACTTGGGTAACTGCTCGCATGTTTTGTTCTTGGACCAAATCTCCATGTGACGGCGGTCAGCACAGGGATCCTGTAAAATAAATACATAAGTTGGGAAATACAGGAAAAATTACAGCTGCAAAAAAGTTTCTTATAAACTTTAAAACAAAAGGAAAAGAAGAAAAAAAAAGTGGAAAAATTTTTTTCACATCTATTTAATCAATTTACTCCACTTCTCTTATGCAAAATCTCCTTTACCCATGAATCATAATAAATCCCTAAAACATGGTTGACGTCATCCACACTAACCCCCCAGATTGGATCTTTCTCCTCAGGATAAAGATGGAAGTACTTCTCGCCAAGCTGCAGAGGTGGCACAGTCTGGAGGTTCAAGTTTGTCCAGCATTTAATGAACTTGATTACAGACTCAAAGGTGTAGAGAGCCAAACGGTCATTGCCGTAGTTGCTGAGATGTGTCATGAAGATGCTGATCTTTGGTGAGAAGAGATAGTGTGTTAGTTGTAAATTACTACGGAGGCTAATACATTTGTATAATTTGCACTAAAATCTATGCTCTTCTGCCTTTTGTTTGAATTTTGAAGTTTCAAAAGGATCTGAATGAATCCTGAAGTACTAAAATTTAGAGAAAATCAGTTATTTTCTTAATCAATGAGGTGGAAAAAATTCTACAGTTATAAGCTCATCAAAGCGTGGAATGGTGGATATTACACTTACTGGGTTAAACACAATGGACTGAAAGAGCTCTCCTCCATGGATACTCTTATCTAACACTGTTCTTCCTCCTGGGTACTTGTTAATGAAGATAGTGTGAGTAAACAATCCACATGTCTGCCTTGGTAGCACCTAAAAGAGAAAAAGGGAAACCAGGTAAAATATAATGAACCAAAGCCTGTTGCCGTCCTTGTCTTTCATCAAGACGTCATCTTATACACTGAGTAAAGTCAGTTCCTTCTGAATGTACCATTATATTTCGGTGTATGAACCCTCTGCGCAGTCTGGCTGGATAGAGATGAGGATATTCTTCTGAAGAAGTGACTCTTACATTCCATACTTTCTTCCAGGCATCATAAAGTGGCTCATGCACTGGGTAAACACCAGAGTGATGTGGAGCCACACTATAACCTATACACAAAAAGAGAAACACATTACAAAATTACAGCGACTGTTCAACACTTATAGATCAAGTATCCTCAAATCAAATATATACTATGATGTAAGAAAGTTAAAGTCAACATTAATTTTCTTGTCATTTCCTTAGACCATTTTCCAAGCCAACACCTCTGAATCAAAATCACAGGTTATCAAACAATAACAAAACTATTATTATGGTACCATAAGACTAGTCCGTCTTCCTACCTGAATCCGTGGGAATGCCATGATCAATTGCAAACTGCTTGTTGCGCTGCATCTGAGCTTCAAGGCCAGCTGGGGTAAGCTTGTGAGGCTGAGTGTGTCCCCACATGTGCCCAAACCACCAAAAATCATCCACATGTTCTGTAATTAGAAATAGTCTGAGACCAATACATACATATCAGTAGTTCTTCCACTCACACAAGTAAAAATAATCATCAGGACTAGCATGGCCCACCTCCCCCGAGCCTCTCATTAACCCCAGGGGGCTTAGGGGCAGGAGTTGGTGCAGGGCCAGAGTGTGTTCACACGGCGTTGGGCCATGACCCTGTACCTCTAGGGCCTCCTGCTGCTCTGAGATCCCCCACAATTTGGCCTGGGACCACAAGGTACCCAGTTTCCATGGGAGGCCATGAGGAGGCACAGCAGAAGTCTCGATAATGGAGGGGCTGTGCACTGGCAGAGGAGGCTTATGCAGAGCTGCTCCCTTTTTCACACTAGGCTAGCCAGCAGTGACAGCTGCAAGCAAGAAGGCATGCAAGCACTTAACACTATAACATCTAGGCTAGCACACACCATTTACATCATCCTGTGAGTGAACACCCACCATCATACAAATTCATAAAAAAAAATTCACAATGCGGGATATCAAAAAAATTATTAGAATTGGTACATATGATGGATATTTTAGCACAAATATAACTGCATAAGTTTAAGATCATTCATCAAGTATATATGACTCCATCATGTCAAATATGAAAACAAACAATGCAAAAGAACTACATCAAATATCTAGATCTTGACTTACCAAATCTGTTCATATCACAACATGCAAAGACTTACTAAGAGTCTCCTATGTTCTCTTCAGGGTAACCATGCTGGTAGTATTTTCCACTAAAACCAAGGTTGAACTTCCAGCCAGGCACCATCTCCTGCAGTCGCTTCTGAGATTCTAGCAATGCCTAGGAAATGCAAATGAAATTTTCTTATCTTTTTTTTCTACTTTCGTCGACTAATAAGTGCTACATATGATCTTTGATTACTCAGTCAATGAAAAGCAAATTCCACATCTCTTTAAAAAACTTGTTTTTGAAATGAAGTGCTTCCTCTGCTAAGAATTTGCATTCAACTATTTTTTGAGCTATTCAACATGACTTTAATAAATATTTTTTCAAAATTTGTATACTTCCTCTTGTACACTAATTGTATACTCTGAATTTCACAGAAAGCTTAAAACACTGTCTAGGCAAAATACTCACTGTGACATCATCTGCCGTCATTCGGATACCTTTCCGAGCAACAAATATGTCATCTATGTCTACCAGCATGTAGCGGTCGAGGGACACTGAGAGGCGGCCCATACTGAGGTAGGATATAGCATCAAGAAATAGCAGCCGGTGCAGCCAGAACTCCAAGCCTCCCCCAAACACCACACGCTGAATCCCATCTATTGCCCCCTTGTCCTGCAAAAATTATTACGGACAATTAAACTATCATATCCTGTACCATGGAGAAATTGTGCCTATTAATCTAAAGTAATTTCAGTATGCAAGAAAATGTTTGGTTTCTATCATTCTGTTTTTTCACTTCGACTTTCAGTCAGTTTATCAATCATAGTTTACATCTTTGTGTAGATAAGGTGTGAGGGGAGCCATCGGGTATCTAATTGAGATCATTGAAGCTTGGATGCGATCTTTTAACATATATACAAAAAAATGTACTCAGGGTTGAGATGTATTGATGATGGAAAAAGAAGATAGCTTATTCAAGCCATAACCAGATTTCCCTGTACCATAACAAGCCAGGTGTTGGGGTTTGTGGGCAAATCTTGATTGAAATATAAAAACAGAAGTACAGAAATCATTTACCCCTTTTACCCCTTTTTGCTATGGTATACATGATTTTTTTTTTAGGATATGTGGCTAAAATTAGACAAAGTCCATTTTCAGAGGCTGTATCTCCGGGTGTCCCATCGATGTGACACTATGTTTTTTGTTCGTCTTCCGGGCATCTTGCGTACAAGGCGTAATCTATGAACCTCAGTAATGTCTGATATAAATTTTTAAAAACATGTAAAAATGTTACTGTATTTTTGCTTGTTCAGCTAAGGGTGTTAGAGTACCTATAGAACGATCAGGAAACTGAGGTGTAAATTATGTTGTGTACTCACACCTTCTAGAAGATACATGCAGAAGAATTAGAACAAATATTCTCTGATGAAAGTTTAAGTGCAAAGAAATTATCAGGAATACCATTTCTTGCAATATGTTCATAGTTTTGTTTGAAAATGGTAAGAAGATGGATCAATCTCACCAGTCACAAATGTGTCACAAAATGTTCTACCTATTGTTCCAAGGTTTCAAACTATAACCAAGTAAGGAATCAGAAAATGGTGGAATACTTGTGACCATATTATGTAGCATCACCAAAACAAAAACCTGGCCATGATATTGGTATTTCATTCAAGTCAAGATGTGTCAATGTATGCCAATAAACCTGTGATCAGGTCCACTTGCCAAATTCTTTCCCCAGTTTTGTGCGGTTAATATATGAAAGTGCCATTTAAATTACTATAATCATTTACAGTAGAAACAAATAATTGTGAAATATCCTCTTACACATAAATACACTATCATATAAATCTTTCTTTCTTTCACCCTTGTTCTGTATGATGGTAGGCGTGCACATGTGAGTATGAAAGAATAAGAGTGAAAACAAGGAAGGACACAGACACGGACATACACAAAAGAACGGAGTTACAGGAGATAAATGTAGATCAATGTATAAACAAGCTGCAATAACTTAACAATGCAGGACATTTAATTCACACATTTTTCTTTACTCTTAATTAATATACATACATCACAAAGATTAAAAAAGATATATAGCTGAGGCTTGTTTATAAAACATAATTGTATTTTCTTACCCAATGACAACACATATGGATATATAAAAGTCCTGAAAATCATTACAGTAAAGTACAGTGTGAATGTATTGGAGGAAAGTGTCCATGCTAGGGAACAATCAATGATGGCTAGATAAGAATTTAATGGATTCCTAAATTTTACAGGCTTTGTAATGTCACTCACCAAAACAGCAGAGACAAGCTTTTCTTGGGCATAATGAGGTACACTTGAATATGCCCACTCTAGCGGCATGTAGTTGGGGTCATCTGACACGAAGACAGTCCAGTCTGTCCCCGGCAGGTTCCCCGAGACATTTCCTCCAGCTCGGGTTAGTCTCAACACTGGGTTGTCACTGTTGAGGCTTGCATTCTGTTGTTGTAAGGAAAGATTTTTTCCTCATTAAAGGCAGTATGTCTTTCTTCTACACATATTATGAGTATACTGAATAATATGAAGCCCTTAGAGTTCATTGATTAGGATTTCTATCAAAATGGTATGAAATAAAAAGATTCCACAAGTGATTTCTTGTATATATGATGATGACAATGCACGATAAAATAGAAGAGAAAAAGATAATTTAATGCTCTGAGACATAACTGGTCAAAATAAAAACCTTCACCCCAGTTCTGTAGACTATGCAATTGCTATAAAGTTCAAAAGGAAAAATTATTACAACACAAAAAATATGTCAAAAAAGTAATTTACTTGAAAATGTGCTAAAAATGCATGTAGGCCAAGTAACTGACTCCTTAGTGACTAAAGCACTTATGAAGCCATATATGAGAAAACTAAATTTATAAAATACAACCACAAACGTTGGCATATAAACCCAGCAAGGGTTCTTAACCAAATGGCTGCAGCAGTTACATGTACTGTCGACTGTATTCCACTCCCTACAGATGGTTCCACAAGGGCTCAGTTGCCATTCTTAGAACTTTGGAGCCTTTTTCATGCTCTTAAAATCAGAATTGTTATTATCATTAAAGAAGTGATCATTTTGATGTTATTAAAATATTAATACTAATAAAAAATTCCCCAAATTCAAGGAAATGGATAAACAGGTAAAATATATAGAACAAGCAACTCATTTACTGGTGACTAGGCACTTGTAGAGCCATCTGTGTGTAAATACAATCAATAAACTAAAATCACAGTGAACTTGGCATGCATTTCATGCCATACTGGCACAGAGGGGTTAGTGCAATACTACTGGCAAAATGTGAAGTTTACTGTAGCGTTATTTTGTACCTACACAGATGGCTTCACAAACATTCTCCTACATATCCTCACCTGATTTTCCCCTTCCTTGAGTTTTAGGGATTTTTTTTTCAAATATTATTTACATTGTTATTTTCATTACTTCCATTATAATCAATATAGTGTTATCAACAATACTACCAGTAAATTATATAAAACATTTCCAAAAGTCAAGGAAAAAGGGGAAAAAATGAGAGAGGTCAGACTAGTGATTGCTAAACTCAATGTAGGCATGGTATGTACATAAATCCATGGTAGCATTGGGTTAATGGTAGTATCTAGTTCCTGATTATTCTTGATAATGAACTTCTAGAAGAGTTTGAACTGATTTTCAACCCACCTCCAATGCCATGTTGGTATGGATGAAGAGTGGAAAGCCCCTTAATTTTGCCCCCACTTGCGTTTCTTCATGGGTCGGCATGAAGCCAACTATTCCTACATTATAGTCCCGAAGGTATTTGTCTAAGAGTTCGCGGTTCCACTGGTCAATCTGCAGGTACCGCTCGAAGTTCTCAAACACCACTGTTCCATACTTGCCCTTCGAAAGGTTTGTAAGCACGGGAAGAGATTTGCCAAAGACCTCCATTTTGTACCTGAAAGAGAATTGCTTATTGGTTCTTTTACAAGATAACACCTATGATTTATAACATAAAATCATTTAAATTGTGTACAAGTATATATATATGTACATAAGTATTGAATATGCATATTTTCTATACTTTCTTCTGGAAAAAAGAAACAGCTATAATAGTGAAATATTAAGATAAACACTATCTCCTTACATTTGATGGTTGACATGTATATATGTTCTGTCCACTGTCAGTTTACTTATTTTGTTCAAATATAGATAGTTCCACAATTGTCTTAGGCACCCACAAAAGGTGATTACTAGGCCCCCTGACCCCACCCCTGTTTATATCATTACTTTAATTTTCATAGCAAAAAGGTTTTATTTTCATCATTATCAGTAATATAATGTAATAATGACCATATAAAAATTATCATTATCATTATACCAATAATAATAGTATTAGAAATAAATACTTTTAAGAACATTTAAGGATTATGGTGAACAATAAGGTCAGAGAGACCTAGTAACTGACTGCTCTGTGACCAAGTGCTTGTGAAGCCATCTTTACACAAAACTGACAAAACAATGCTACAGTAGACAACACATGTACCCAGCAACAATGATTTAAGGATAATTTTCCAATATAAAAAATATATTTCTACCCACAAATACTTTTGGAAGATCTAGCAATGCAAGATCCATCTCTATCTGTACACAAGGCTCAACCAAATCCTTCATCCTACAACTCACTTAATTCTGTTTGCCACCAGGATCTCCGTGATGGCTTTCCCCAGCCTAGAGTACTGTGTCTCAGTGAAGAGCAGCACCTTGGGGTCCTCCCGCAGCCGATTCTCTGAAGACTTGGGTGGTTGGTGGTGCTGGTGGAGGCTGAAGTTGCCACGGTTGCCACACTGGAAGACCGACTCAGGAGGCCGCCCACGCACCAGGCTGGAACACAGTACAGAGCTGCTCTATGTCAGTTATTAAACATCATGGAAGCTTAATGTACATAACAGTAAACAAAGGCCTAGAGTGACCTTGCTTTACCAAGAGTCTCCAGGAAGCTACAGTGCACCAAATGAGAGTTCACAATAGGACAGCAACTTCTACTCATTGTCAGATGTTAGTCATTTTCCCCTTGCAGACAGATAAGCCCAGATGTTGTTAGACTGAGGGACTAGAGAGAGAGTTCAAGATACCCAACGTGCAGAATAGAAGTAATGAGCAAACCAGAAAGCAAGGCTGTATATTCTTTCTTTCTTTCTTTTTAAAAGTTGTTCTTATTGTTTTATCTTCGGTTTCTGATGCATGTGCTTAGTGATTATGTGCACCATTATCAGAGCAAAGTGTGAATATATTGTGAAAATTTAAGGTGAAAATATATATACATACAATAAATTTTTCAAGAAGTTTTTAAAAATAAAATAAGTAGTATAATTACAAAGTAGAGTGATTATGCATCTCTAAGACGACAAGAAATAGAAAGTGAATGCAGCATGCACAAGTACAAGTGTGACTCAAGTAATCAAATGCAATGCTCTTGATTAATGAGTCATGGTATCATTATAAATAATCATAATGAGATTACATGCCACACTTCCGCTCTAAAATCAGCCACCAAATCAGGCTCAATTTTGAAGAGGTAATGACAACTACATAAAATAGCTTAACCAGTACTCTTGTATTTATTGTTCAGTAGCTGATTGCTCCTGAACAAAAGAAGATACTGGCGAATGTAAAGGAATGACACTAAGAAAGTATATACCCCAATATTACATATCAGTAATGCATCATATATAATATTGCGTATATATAATATGTGCAACATCTATATAACATATTTTTGTTATATTTCTATATCCATGTATACAAATATACAATTAGCAGTTCTTAGCAAAAGCAAACTAAAGGATACTCTTCAAGATCACTATATTTGTAGAACCAGTCACTTTGTGATACTTAAGGAACATAATTTACAGATGAAACACATTACTCGCAGAATAAAAATGACTGTATGGAACAATAATTCTAATACAACTTTATTTCTAATCGCAAAATACTGGCCAGGAAAAGTAATTAATCTGTATATTCAACAGTTAATTAAGAATGTGCTATTTCAGCATCGTGAACATATGAAACAATGATTAATTCTCAATAGTTAATTGAGCTTGTGCCTCTGCAAAGAATAGCAATACTTGAAACAAATTAACTTGCTAAAAATATTAATACTTGATAAACAATAAGTTTCTTGAAATGTAAATATCTGTGCAAGTACATGAATTTGTTGCTAATTTGTTGATATTATATAGCTACAAAAGTTGAAAGATGAATGCATTGCTCCATACAGCATCAAACCATGAGAAGCTAACCAAAAGATGCATATAGCCCAAGTATTTCTTAACCATAGATTGTGCACTCGGTGAAAAGCTTACATAGGTACAGCACCCATTTTCCAGCAAGCCAAAATTATGAGCAGACACTTAAACTTCCCATAACTGCTCTGGTATTTTACTAACAAGGCGGCTTTAAGTATCATCAATATACATTGCTCATCTATCTACTCAATTCCTTTCAAAATCGTTACAATTTTGAGTTTAATAATAGTTTTAGGGATATGGGAAATACACAATCAAGATATTAAAGGTGTATTGAATTTATATTAATGGAAGAAAATAGTAGATGTACCTATGTATACTAAAAATCAAATTCCCCGAAGCTTTGTTGTAATAAGCCATGGAGGAAATGAAACTGGGAAATGGATAAAGAAAAAAATATGCATGAAAAGATAGAAAATGAAAAAGGTAGGAAAAAAAAGAAAAAAGAAAAGGCAATAACAAGAATGCAAGGTGTTAAAAAAAGAAAAAGAAAAAGAAATCAAGCTTATAATAGAAATCATCAGGTCAAGCTAATATGCAGTGATGAAGAAAACTCACACAATCTATTCAATAATATACAGCACAAAAGAAAACATACTGCATACAGGTCAGAGAAAGAAAGGAAGGGGAAGAAAGAGAGAGAAAGGGGGAGGAGAAAGAGAAAGGGGGAGAAGAGAGAAAAAAAAAGAGAGAAAAAAAGAAACAGAAAAAAAAGAAAAAAGAAAGAGAAAAGAGAAAGAGAGAGAGAGAGAGAGAGAGAGAGAGAGAGAGAGAGAGAGAGAGAGAGAGAGAGAGAGAGAGAGAGAGAGAGAGAGAGAGAGAGAGAGAGAGAGAGAGAGAGAGAGAGAGAGAGAGAGAGAGAGAGAGAGAGAGAGAGAGAGAGAGAGAGAGAGAGAGAGAGAGAGAGAGAGAGAGAGAGAGAGAGAGAGAGAGAGAGAGAGAGAGAAGATCAAGACAAAAATTATATGGATAGGGATTGGGTTTGGGATAGGAGAGTGATTAGGAGAGTGGGAGAGGAAAACAGACAAAAAGAATGAAGGGAGGAGAGAGACAAAGAAAGGAAGAGGAAGGGGAGAGAATACATTATAAACTAAAAGAAACCAACTGTCAACCAACTCTTTAAAAGTGCGGCAGAGGCTGCCCTGTGCACCCTACCTCATAAAGGATCGGTGAGGTGACTCCATAAGAGAATAAACCACCAATAAACAGACTAGAACTGCCAGGAAGAACATGGAGCGCCTCCAGGACTTGCGTGTGCCAGCGAAGCACAATGTGGTCCGCTGCCACAGCCGCCAGGGACGGCATATCAAAGGGAGGTTCCTGCTGCTGCTTCTGCCCTGAGATGGAAGCAGTGTAGAGGTCCCCTGCCCCACATGAGGGAGCAGCTCCTCCCAACTGCTTCTCCTAGCCCCCCAGGTCCTCCATGACCCCTCCTCCACTGCACCAGGACTCGCCAGAGCCTCCTGGTCACCCATGGTCTTTGAAGCAAGTTAGAGTTCTCATAGGGTCAGGCTAGCACAGGGGTACATACACACACAAGCCATTTTCTCTTCTCTGCACTTCACTTTACTGCACTGCACTTCACACTGCTCACACTACAGCACTCATCATTATCTACACTCTGGCTTTTCCACACTGGTTCCTCCCCTTCTGCTGGTGTAGCATCTGGCACTCTCCATCTTAGGACATCTACACTTGCTTAAATGCCAAGCTGCTAACTGAAGAATACTGCCGTGGGTGTTAGTTTCCCTGTGTCATGTCTTCTTTCATGGAAGATTAACTGAAAAGAAAAAGCTCATTTTAGACAAGATGAAATATAACTTCTGAAGTAAATTCAGGGTAAAATCTTTAACACAATTATCTAAAACAAACATTTGACTTTTGCTGTAAACACAAATATGAACATTTCTGCCACAAACATGAGTCAGGGTCAGCAATGGTTTATGTAAAATGTTACCAGCAATCTTGTATTCGTTATGGAATTTTTGGCTGAATTTGAAATATATCTGTAATGTAAAATAATGTATTATGAGATCAATTGTATAAAAACTTCTCACTGCATAATCTAATGTTTTAGGAGTCTATTTACAAAATTTAGGTGTACAAACATCACGTTGATTAAGGTGCAAATCTTTCCCTCTCTGATACTTTCAGCCATAACATCTGCAAGACCATACAAAGTGGATCACCTATTCTCGCAGAATGATTCTAAATCTAGTCTATTACAAATTTTATAGCTAAATTATCACTTGAAAATACAAATTCCTTATGCTAATTTTAACATTGAATGATATACACTCTGCAACATATATTCCTGTAAGTCAGAGTATGGACAATTTCCTCAAATGACAAGACATAACCAGGAGAGTTGACGAGCTTTATCTTGCTTGAATTCATATGGTGGAGGTTCGTTGGCCTGTAGTCTAACTGAGAGAAATGTGGTAATCAGAACCCTAATGAACAGATCTGCAAACTTCAGCGTGTAATTTTGAAGAAGATGATGATGATCATTTACTTTTATTATGGTCATAAAATTAGTTTTTCTTTCGGCACAGGATAGAGTTAAGGCAGCCGTATTAACTGATCCATATTCTAGAGTTACGGCAGTCCACTGCACATGCACATAATCTGGTCACTTTGACAATTAATTACGTTTGATATGGCCTTTTCCCATTTCCACCTAACCTAACCAACCTAATCTAACCTAACCTAACTGATTAGGTTGGTTATGTTATGTTAGGTTTGATTAGGTTCGTTATTCGTGTCGCACGCCATTTTAGTAGAATGCGAAACCGGAACCAGTACAAGCAACACGTATGCTCAACAGGCCCTGCCATACCACCAGCGCAATTGGTGCTGATTACAGCTGCCGTAACAACTGACAGTGCATTTTCTTTATCTCTGAGTTGTTTTTTTCCTAGATAAATCACATTAAAATGCTTCAGGGATATTTCTGCACAAAAAAAATGATAAGCATAAGTTAAAAGTATATTTGAAGAGGTACCAAAAGAGCAGAAAAGGAAAGACTACTGCACTTCAATGTCATAAAAAATAATAATTTCTAGGAGGATTTTTAAAGAATAATCACATATCAAAATGACATGTCATTACAATATATACATACAGGTATATATACCTTAAATATTCCTTTTTTCATGTGTCACTGTTAAAAGATTAAAAATAGCTACCTATCATTTCTGAGAAAATTTGAAAATGAGCCTACATACCAACACAATTCTTGGTCATGTCACACAATGTTACATGCATTACGTTACCTCCACAGGCCATATTATTACAAAATAATCCTGATTCCAAAGTCTCGTTAAAATATTCCTTTTCTGGAACACACAAATACCGAGGACTTTCTCTCGCCCGCGTAGGCCTATCCACAAGCCTCTCCCAACACACACCCTGGAAGAACCCGACGCACATGCCAACTGTAAACAAGGTAGGCCTATTATTTCAATCTGACAGCCTTATCTCTCGCCAGTAAGTATTTTCCGGGGTAAAAACTTAATCGTGGGGGATATATAAGAAAACCGAGTGTTGAACATGGCTGCGGCAGCTACTACTACTACAAGCAATGGCCTGTCCCAACCTCCCTGTAAATACTTCCTTCTCACGTCACGCCCCATCTGCTGAACACATCATGTGCGTGATAAACGATCTTAAAACCTCTCCCGATGGTACATATTTTTAAAATCTCTCCCTCCAGCGGGAAAATAATGAGGGGAAGGGCAGTGTAAAGTCACTACATCTTACCTTTTCCGCTGAGAGTTTGCTACTGTTGTGTTTTGGATCTGCAATACACAAGGGCGGCGGCGGTGCTGCCATCTGTCGGCCGTGATTGGCAACTTCGAGGAAGAGGCAGCGAGAGGGATGGATCATGTACAAATATACATGAATACATACTTACATATATATCCTTTATGCATATATACATATACATATTTATAGTGCACACACACACACACACACACACACACACACACACACACACACACACACACACACACATACACACACGCACACACACACATATATGAAAAAAAGAGGAAAAGGGGCAATATGCCTATGCTCTTAAACTATGTTACAGGAAAGGGGAAATTAGAGAAAGATAAATCTTGCGTTTTAAACACAAGTAGAACTAGAGGATAATAAAAAGGTTTAAAGTAAAAAAAAAAAAAAAAAAAGCTATAACGATGACAGAAGGTTCAGCTTCCCCAAAAAGAAGAAAAAAAGTTGTGTACCAAAACTATGCATCCATTTTCAAAAGTTAT